TCTTAAATAAATTTTGATCAATTATAATTTATACATTTTCCTCTTTTAGTCCAAATCATTATCTAGTGTGTCCCCTACATCTTTAAATACAATTAGTGAAGAGGAAAAAATGAAAAATAGAGCGGAGAAATTTAAAACAAATGTAATTATATTTATTATTTAAATAATTTCATTGGAAATGATAATATCTTTTTTCAGTGATAACAAAATTGTTATTTGAATTTTATAGACCAATGATGAACCTCCCAGTAAAAAAATAAAAACATGAAATTCAGGATTCTTGCAAGGGAAAAAAAAACAAAATATAACTATATCAAAACGGTAATGTCTATAATTTTCTTTTTTTTCAAAAAAAATATATTAACTTGCTTTTTTATTTTTTTTGATAGATAAATTCACAACTTAGTTTTAATTGGATATTAGTGAAAAGTATTTATTAGTAGTATTATTGTTCATTTAGTGTTTTCTCTACATATTATTATTATATAAAAAATTTTCAATTACCTTTTTTGTTTGAAAGTTTTTTAAAAAGATTTTTTCTAATATTCTTTAAAGATTTATGTATATTAATGAAATAAGTTGATATCAATACAATTTTTATATACTAAATCTTTAAAAATATGCGTGTGTGTGTGTATACCACTTGTTAGTCAAATGAAGTTTCAAAAAAAAAAAATCTTTTTTGAATAAATTAATTATGAAAGGACAGTTATTTTCAAAAACTTAACTTTATATAATCTTTTTAAAAAATACACACATATATATATTTTTTTTTTATAATATAGAAATTAGACAAGATAATTTTTAAATAAACTAAATTTTTCAAGAGAAAAAATTTAATGCAAACAGTAAAAATTTTAAAATTTTAAGGTCAAGTATTATACTCAAGAACATTGGATAAATTATATTTTGATCGCTGCTGTTTTTATAAAAGCTTACACTACTAGAGAGATTTATTATCAAAACAAGTGATAATATAGCAACTGACTGATCTTGAAAAGACAATTAAATATGTTAGGTATAAATAAACCTCTGGTAACAGATAATGAAAAAGTGATGAAGACGTGGAGTGATTCTTCTGTTATGTGTCTTGAATCATTAATATATTCATTAACTTTGATCAACAAATCAAATAAAGATAAATTTATATAGGCGGATTTTTTCATGGAATTTATAGTACCAAGACTTTAAACTGTTATTTCTCCTCCAAAAATATGTAGAATGTTGATAGAGAGAGAATATGTTAATTTTTTATATTTTTCTGAATGCAATAAAGGAAAATTTTGAATGAATATTTTACAATATTCAACTTTTTTAAAATGAAATAACTCTGAGTGTTTAAAATATTATCTATTCACACATATTTGGCACCTATATTGTTGAAAATGGGGAAGGAATAACAATTTGAAAACTGTGCATTTTATTATGTACTCCAAGCCCAGACTGCAATCTCGGGCTGGTCCAAACACTCCGTTCCTTTGATTTGACGGTTAACAACCCCACCTACAAATGAACATTTTGTCATGAATGCTTCAAAATCTTTAAACGGGGAGGAATTGATTGTGCACACTGTTGCCTTTTATCCAAAAGATCCTAACGTAAAAAACAACCAAATTGTTCACGTGACCAGAAATTCATTCCCGAAAACGCTAATTTTGGCCGTTCAATTATGACATTTTTATATTTTTAAAAAGATTTTTTTTTTTAATCAGCACTGATATGTGATACCTCTTCTCCAGATATCTGTGACAAATTTGAGAGTCCTGGAAAATGAGCCCTCAGATATTGTTGTGACCGTGATGGAAGGGACGAATCAACATCACTATCAAAATAGACTCTTTCTGATTTTGTGCATGTTATCATGTCCAATAATAATTGGAGAAAATTTTTTTCTTTACTACCTTAAAGCAAAAGTCCAAATGCGAAAGAGTGTTTCCAAATATTCATTGAAAGAGAGTGCCTGACCTGAACAAAATGGCATACATATAGGGATGGGTTCAATTTATAAACTGACATTTTGACCCATGAACAGTGGCAGCTCAAACTCATGATGTAGGCCGACTCATCAAGAGAACTATCGAGAACATTTGACTTAATTTTTAAACTAGCAATTGCATCTGCGGGCAACTAACGTCACCCGATTACCAAAGGTTATGGGAATCAACATCATCAAAGTTGATAAAGTAGACTTAGTCGAGGAGATAGTCCTCTAATAAACAACTCGAACCCAATGTACCCTATTCAGCATAACCTATTGTTTTTTATTGTTATCAATTAAATTCGCTCATAAAGTAAATTTTTATTGAAATCTGACCAGTTAAAGTCTGATCTTTCAAAGACCAATACAATCCTAATGCCGCGAGAACATGAAGATTTTTATCATGTAAAATATTTATGGTATATAAGTAAAAGCAAATGTAATTTTTCCAAACAAACGTTTGCGTTCAAAACAAATTTGTCAATTTTTTGCCTTTTGAGATGGATTAATAAAGATACCACTGATAGAGCTAATGAATAATACAAAATTGCTTTGCATACTCGTGTATCATATAAATGAAAATAGTTGCCATGACAAATATTAATATTCATATTGGATTTTTTATTTTATTTAAATGAGAAATGGGTTTTATTTTTCTTATGTTGAATAATTTGCAGCTAAAATGTTTCACCTCTTGTTCTCACGCTTCCCAAAAGGTTCAGTTTAACTTAAATAGAAATAACACTAGAAATAAAATATAAATAGATGTCTAGAAAAATGTCCGAGAGGAATTGACCAATTTTTAACGTAAATAAAAAAAAATAAAAATAAACAAAAACGTATCTTGCGATCTATATAATCTTTTTTTAATTATATATAATACTAACTATTTTTGAGTCCAAGGAAATCATAATATTTTATTACAAATAAATTTTACGTGATTTGATTTGACTAAAAATAGTTGGTGAATGGAATCCCACAGAACATCGCATATTAATATGATGCAATTTTTTTGTCCACGGGATTCAAGAATATGGTTTGTAAGCAAAAAAAAAAAAAAAAAAAGGTAAACTAGATATTTAGAAATATCCAATCTAAAACCGCAAGGTAAATAAATGCCACATTTCCGTTTTCAGGTGCAAAGATGGTCATCTGTGCTGAGGAATGCACTAATAAAACGTGTGGATGTTGTGGACTCGTAAACAAAACTTGGAACTTTTATAGACGTACATTTTTCAAATGCACCACTGATAGAAATGTAAACAAACCTTGTATAATATACTTTTAAAATATATTACGGAAGAAACACAACAAGAATCGCTTGCCCTGCATTCGAGAGACACCTTATTTATTGTACTTTTGTTATAATTGTTCTTTTTTACAAGACTATCATCAAATTTACTAATTTGGAATAATATGAGCGATGATCTCAGCCACAATTTATTGAAGTAATGCCATTTTCGAGTTAACACCATTTTGTTGCACACTTTATGATTGATATTTTTTATCTCAATATGTAACAACGGTTTGTTGTTGTGTAGAAAAAAAAATTTTTTTATTTTTCATGTGAACAATTTGTAAAACCTATCTAATATATATGAGCATTATGACGATGATATGATAGAAATAGTCACATACTTTACCGTTGCAAAATTCTGAAACATGAAAGGAACGAACAATACTAATTTCATCTCTTGACGTACACTTTTTAGTCTCCACAAAAAAAATCGAGTATTGTTCTTGTTTATTTATTTTCAAAAATTCAAAAAACTTGATGAAAATGATGATTTTGAAACAAAGGGGTAAAAATGATAAATAATAATAATAATAACAATAATAATAAATAAATAATATCGTCCGTCCGTCAGTTAAACACGAGTTTTTGAAAAAAATTCCATTTTTATTACTATTAATAATTTTTTTCTAATTAAAAAAAATTTTAATTAATTGCGATGAAAAGATATTCAGCTTTAACCATCACAAGAAAATTGTCAAGTGGCAATTCTGATATCGATAAATTTCTCGAAGAAATAAAATTAAATTCAAAAGATAATGATAAAACTTTAAAATGGATTCCCTATCATGAATTCAGTAATTTAAAGGAAATTGGCAAAGGTGGCTTTGGTATTGTCTATGAAGCGATTTGGCACGATGCTCCTGAACAGAAAATCGATTTAATTTGGAATAAAAAAAGAGTCGCCTTAAAGGTCTTATTTAATTTTAGATTTAATTCTAGTAATGATAACAGCTTGTCTGGTAACCTAATAAACGAGGTATTTTTTTAAACAAATATTTATTTTATTAGTAATGTATTTTTTATTATTATATATTCCTTATATTATAATAATAAACATTATTATTATTATTATTATTATTATTATTATTATCATCATCATCATTATAGTTAAGATCATATCATCGATGTATGGAATCAGGTCGAATACTCCCATGTTATGGTATAAATTTATTATTTATTCTTTGATAATAAATAAAATAAATAATTTTAAAAAATTTTAGTTTTTAGGAGTTAGTAAAGATCCAGAATCAAACCATTATACATTAGTTATGCAATATGCAAGTGAAGGCAATCTTCGAGAATATCTTGATCAAAACTTTCAAAGATTTGATTGGTGGAAAAAGATAAATATGTTAAAGGATATTGTTTTGGGACTTCAATCCATTCATTCGGTTGGTCTTGTACATAATGATTTTCATAGTGGAAATATATTACGACATGGTTACGGAAGTGATAGTGATAATTTGGACACTTATATTTCAGATTTAGGAACGTGTCATCGTCATACAACCACTCAAAATTTGTTGAATTACAAGAAATTAAATGTTTTTGGCGTGCTGCCTTATGTAGCTCCAGAAGTTTTGTGTGGGGAACAGTATACGACTGCTGCAGACATTTATAGTTTAGGAATAATAATGTGGGAGGTGACCTCTGGTGAAAACCCTTTTATAGATAGACCACATGATTACATATTAGCCAGAGATATTTGTAATGGCCTTCGACCTGAAATAGTAATCGGAACACCTGATTGCTACGTCGAAATGATGCAAAGTTGTTGGAACGCCAACCCGTTGCAAAGACCTACGGTCGGCGAATTGTTAGATTTGTTTAAAAAATTTCGCGAAATGCAAAAATTTCGTAGCCAAATCGGCGAAGCTGAACTGGTAAGGTTATCAACGTTGCAAAATAAATTTATCAAAAAGATTCAACATCCATCTGCTTTTTACACAAGTCGTTTACTTGATTTCACAAATCTTCCACAACCAAAAAATGCAATAAAAAATCATTCATTAATTTTAGAGTCTGCAGGTAAAAAAACCAAATATTATAACGTCCCGCGAGAATATATAATAACATACAGTATATATAAATTTTTTTTTTTTTTTTTTTTTTTTTTTTAAAGATAAAAAATCCTTCGATATTGTACGATCATCATCAATAGGTTTGTTGTATATTAAATTATTATTATTATTATTATTATTATTTTTTTTTTTTTTAACATATTGAAATTTTTTAAAATAAAGAAAATAAACAGCCGTTTAATCTTGCAAAATCAAATGCAGGTTTGTAATAATATTATGAATCAAAACATTATTTTGTAATTTATAATTAAGAAAATAATAATTTTTATCAGATTTTGGCCAATTGGCTGCTCGTAGACGTACTCAGAGCATCACTAGTAGTACTACCAATGATAATAGTCGCAATAACAACGAGAGATTTAAACACTCGAGAAGTTCGAGTGTAAAAGCAAAACGTCTCAGTAGAACTTTTACCAATGAAGAAATTGCCGAAGGTTAGATCAATAACATTATCACTATTTATTATTTTCATTTCTCTTGTAACGAATATCATATTAATAAATATTTTGATATTTCGTCGATAGAAATGCGACAATTAAATATGGTACCACCTTTATCAGGTCAGTCATATGGTAAAATTAATTAAACATTTTTTACTATTATTACCTTTCTATTCTAACCGTAAATTTTTAATTTTCATTGTAACTAATAATAATAAACAGGTCTTAACTCAATAAACGAAGAAAATATTTAAAAAATTATACATATATTTTATATCTCATTTATAAATAATAACATTAATACTTGTAAATATTTGTAAAATTAAAATTTTTATTTTGTTTTTATTGTTCCGTTTAAAGAGAACATTAAACTCGTGATTGTTGATGTAAGAAAAGAACAGAATTAATTTGGCGCGGAAATGATTGCGTTGTATATATAGAGTGTATTAGCTTATTTGTTAACGAACTGAGATTTTTATTTATTATAAAAAAATCGGTCATTGCAACATAATATATAATGTGAATAACCACTCCCTCCGAATAGATCTTCAATAAACTTAATCGACTATTTTATATTTTTATCATCCTTTATTATTAACCACCACCAGTGTTGTTTTTAGTATAATCAATTAGAGCTCAAATTAATGGTTTCTGACTGATCAGGACTCTTTAATCATGCTTGCTTAACTTTTATTCTTATTTTTTTCAATTTTTTTTTTTTAAAAAAATAATAAAGAACATGAAACATGAAAAAGTATTATTTTAAGGAGTAAAGTGTTGAATTCAATTTTTTTTTGAAACGCGAAACCAAGAGGCGTTCATGAAGTATTGTTTGGTACGATTCTAAAGAAGATATGCTATTTATTAATAGCCAGAGATAATTTGATCATTAATGTTAACACATTAAATAATTGCATGGTAAAAAAAGCAACATGGTTGATTATTAGAGAAAACTGCTCTTGAACAATTTGGAAACACCAAAAAAACAATTCGATATATTTGATTGTGGAAATTTACAGATGTTAAAGTGTATCTTCAAGGCTCGTATATTTAAGGCATTACAATTATTCTCATCTTCTTCGGCCCACAAAGGTTAATCTGATGCTGGCATCCCAATGATACAGTGTTGGCAATTTAACTGGCTCAAATATTTGAACCGGTTAATTAGTTAAACTTTGTTGATCACAGTTGTTTACCAATCTGCAAGTAATTTAATCAATATGCAAGTAATTGTAAATTATTTAGGTTATTTAACAAAGTTCGTTACACATCTAGAAAACAGTATCAAATATTGTATAATACAGCATATTTTTTTCGCTTGCAAATTGTATGTCAACTGCGTATAATATACATATTGATATAATATTTGATACTGTTTTCTGGATGCAGTGTTAATAACTTTAATTTTAATTATGAGAAAGAACAACATTTACTTACACCTTGGTTTAGAAATTTATCAATTCCGCACACAGAGGAACAGTACACAAGTATTATTTTTTGATGTGTAAGCTGGTCAGTAGAATGATAATTAACCTAAAAAAATTTATTTGCTCTACTAAAAAATATTTGACTATCCAACAGCCCGTCAAACCAATGGCTCCACCTCAAAACCAATGGGTTTTTGCTAATATAAACCAGGGCTGGCAGCGTAAAGGGGTTAAAAACCTAATTTAGTAACAATCATCTTGACTAAACTTGACTTAACATATATACCTTATTTAATTATATTAATATAATTTATATTATTATACACTTTAATATCATTTTTAAATTTCAAATATTTATACACTTTAATATTATTATTCAATTATGAGTTCAAACAAAAAAATCGTCCCAATTGAAATCTCTGAAGATGAAAATGAAATAATTTTTACTGACAATGAGTAAGTTTTAAATTTAAATTTAAATTTAAATATATTAATTATGCAAAATTTTATTAATAAATTTATTTATTTATTTAATTAGATTTGAAAATTATTATGAAAATGCTAATAATTATTTAAATGAAATTTCTGGAGAAGATTTAATTAATATCAAATTTCCATCAATCAGAGAAATGGAGCCAACCTTTAAAATTTCTGATCAGTTTATATTTATTATAAATCCTCAATGTGAAATGCGAATTAAAGAAATCATTAAATTAGATTTATGTCTCCCTCCTCCAGAATACATACAATATTCAATAAGAGAATTTAAAAAGTTACCAACTTTTAATAAACCTGATGATATAACTACTTATGTCAGAATACCTGAATTTGGAATAGCAGAATTTAGTGATTTAAATAAAATAATGGGTATACACACAGCAATAAAACTTCAACAAGATCTCAAAAATTTAATTAATTGGATTAATTCAACTTCATTTTCTCAACCAAAAATTTTACAAAACACAATCATTAAAATCAAAAAATTATGTACTCCATTTATAAATAATCTAAATGTGAATGTATATGATTTATGTACTTTAGCAAATCAAAATTATATAAATGATTCAATAATTGATTCAATTTTTAGAATTTTTACCCATTATTATGAAAAAAATCATGATTCAGATAATAATAATTACATTTTAGTAAATAGCTATTTTTATAAATTTTTAGAAAGTAGAAATAATGAAAAAACATATGAATATTTTGAAAAATATGCTAAAGATTTAAATATGTTAAAAAAATTTAAATTTATTTACATTATAATGAATTTAAATAATGCACATTGGGCATTAGCAAAAACATAATCCACCTAGAAATTTATTATCTCTTTTAAATCATTTGTTTATTCTCTACAACATTAAATTCAATCAAATCAATTTAATCAAGGAATTTCCAAATCAGCAATCCACCTTGGATTGTGGAATTATAGTTATCAATTATATTGAAAAAGAATTGGGAATAAGAAGTTTAACTTGGAGTAGAGATCAATCATCTAATTTTAGATTAAGATACTTGTGTTTATTAACTGATCACATAAATAATCCAAGAGTTATAAATTTTCCTTCTGGTATGGGAAATTTAATTAATGAAAAATTTCCACTTAAATTATATTTAAATTATTTAAATGATATTAAAGAAGATGATAATTCTTTGTTATGTTATCCACTTTGGGCAAAATCAAAAGTAGAATTGGCTGATTATGACAACAATGAAATTTGTGATGATTATAATTATGAAAATGAAATTCATGATGAAATGGAAATTTGTCATGAAAATGAAATTGATTATGAAAATGAGATTGGGAGTGATTGTGAATGTGAGACTGATCACGGAAATGAGATTGAGATTGATCACAAATATGGGGTTAATCATGAAAATAAGATAGAGATTGAGATTGATCATGAATATGAGACTAATCATGAAATTGATAATAAAATCTTAGATCAAGCTACAACACTTTCCTCTTCTAATAGTTGGAAATCACTGGATGATGCTGTAAAATACATAAAAAATCATGCCAGACAGAATGGATTTGAAGCTAGTATTATTTCTTCAAGGCCAACTGCCAAATTTTTAAAGTGCCATTATTCTGGTACCAAGAGAAGTGGCAGGAAAAATTTGGATCCAAGCAAACATGTTAACAAGCTTACAAAAAAAACCAATTGCTAGTGGCAGATCAATATTAATTTTTCAAGATTTCTAGGTGCTCATGTAACCAAATTTATTGACAAACACAATCATGAAATCACTGATGAAGATAAATTTCTTTGCACTAACAAATTGATTGAGCCAAAATTAATTGAAGAAATCAAAATATATGCAAAGGAAAAAGTCACACCAGCTCAAATTAAAAACATACTTGCCAGAAAATATCATGGAATCCAATTGATTGACAAAAAGTTGGATAACATAATTCAATCCACCAAAAAAATAATGAAATATGATGCTGCTGATCTGTATGAAAAATTAAATGAAAATAAAAACAAAGATCCTTTGTGGTTTGTAGAGGCTTCAGTTGATATTTATACCAATAGGCTTAATAAACTTTTTTGGATAAACCCTACACAAAAAAGAAACTGGAGTAAATATAATGACATTGCAATTATAGATTCAACATATAAAACAAATATGTATAATTTGATATTATGTATTGTTATTGGACATCCGGAAAATATAAAAAAATTTTACACGTGTCAATTGTAAGTTTAATAATAAAAAAGTGTAAAACTTACGTCGGCACTGTAAGATTTACACAATATTACGTCGGCATCGTAAGATTTATGCAAGTTTACGCTAAATTAATTTCCTGATGGAATTAATAATGAAGGAAGATCTGTAATTTTCTGTCAAGCATTGTTAGATCATGAGAATGTTGATTCATTCAATTGGTTTTTCAATTGTATGAAAAATGGTTTTCTAGAAGCACCAGGTTTGATTATGAGTGATCATGATCTTTCCTTGGAATCATCAATTGAGATAAATTTTCCAGAAACAAAACATTTTTTGTGCATTTTTCATATATATAATAATTTGTATAGAAATCTGAAGCCAGTTCTGAAAAAAGATTATTATAATTTCATACAGGACTTCAAAAGACTTGCTTTTTCAATTTCATCAGTTGCATTTGATAGAATGTGGAATCAACTTATTCAAAAATATTTTGATAGAAATAATGACAATTACCTGAATAAATATATCTATAATTCCAAAGAAAAATGGGGTTGGCCATGGAGATGCAGAGTAATGATGGCTGGTGTAAAAACAACATCAAGATTGGAAGGCCTGAATGCTGTTATAAAAAAACAGTTAAATTCAAAATCAAGCCTTATTGAAACATTTGATACAATTGAAAATCGTATTCAGAGATCCGAAAAAAAGAATATAAACACCTGGTATCCCACCAAAAATATAAATCCAACCACCATCATATTTGCAGCTTACAAAGATATTATAAAAAATACAGAAAAATAATTATCTGTTTTTTGTCAATCCAGAATTAAAATCGAGATAGTTTCTTCACAATCATATCATTTCTTGATGTCTTCTCTTGATGAAATTTTAGGCACAATTAATGACAATGATAATGATAGTGATAGTGATATTACCAATTTCATATCCACATCTATGAAAAACATTACTGGTGAAAATTATAATGATGAAAATAATGATATTACTGCTTCCACCTCCAACATCATCCCCAAAGACACCACCAATGATGTTAATTATGATATCACTGATCTTAGAAGTTTTTCTTTAAGGGAATTACTTATTTCATCTAATGTAGAGCCATCTGAAGTATGGGTGCTAAAACACTACTTTGGACGTAGAAAACAATATGTAATTGTTTTCAATGATGGTGCATACTTATGTACATGCATGCTTCTATCTCATGAAGGAATAGTTTGCAGACATTTTTTAGCAATTTTACGTACAAGTCAAATTGCTAAATTCCACATAAGTATGGTATCTAAAAGATGGTACAAAGAAGTGATTAATAATAATATTAATGATGAAAAATTATTATAAAGTAATGTTGTTGGTATTTACCAACAACCACAACAATATCCAAAAATATTTGGCAGTGATCTTATTAAAGTTCTAAATTCCAATCTACCAAAAACTCAAGATAAAGTTGTTGATACAAAAAAAAATTATATCAAACTTTTAGATAGCTTTAAATCTATAACTCAAATAATTGGTGATGATCCTGATAAGTATGAAGAGACAAAAACCTTATTTGAAGAAACTTACCACAAATTAAAAAGAGAAAAAGAAGAAAAAGAAGAAAGGGAAGAAAAGGAGATAATTGACAATGATGACAATAAAATAAAAAATCCAATTCCAACAAAAACTAAGGGCCATCCTAAGAAAGGCTCCAATTCTAAAAAAAATATTACAAAAACAAATAATTCAAAAAAAAATTAATTTTTTTTTTGCAAATTATAATTTTTTTATTATATTTTACATATTTTAACATTCTACATATTAATATAATAAAATTCTTTCCAAAACGTAAAATTTCTTTACATTATGATCAATCTTAGTTCTATCTTTAATTTTATTTTTATTATAATTTATATCTTTATTTACTTTATAATAATTGTTTCGAAAAATTTTTTTGTATACATATATATATATATATATATATATATAATAATTTAATATAAAAAAATTAAAAAAATTTTTTTATTTGATACGGGTGGCTATACATCACCAGAAGCTGATGTGATTTCACGATTAGTCACATTGAAAATCTTATACTAAATTTAGAAGGTACTGTATATCGCAAAAAAAGTACCCTTCTGTATTTAGATTTTACCTATTGTAAAATATCCATTCAAAATTTCCTTTATTGCAGTACCTTTTGCTCTATTACAACTTTAAAAAAAATATAGAAAATTAAAATATTCTCTCTGTATGAGTATTCTACAGATGGTTTTCAATCGAAGCAATTTAATTTTTTTGCAGATGGACAAGTTTTGCACAAGAAATAAGAGCTTAAAGTTTCCGAAATTTGCAAGAAACATAAATAAAAAACTTTTGTCACACAGAAAAAAAGGGGGTTACCATAAAAAAATCCGCACATATAGATTTATCTTATTGACATTAATTAGATTTGTCAATCAACCAATATCGAATACCCCAATAGTTGAAGCATTTTTTTGAATTTCTAAATTTGAGGAAATGAAAAGGTCGAAAGCAATAACTTTAAGAATTAAAAATACACAAGGTCAAACTATAGTTGGAGTACTTGAAAGAAAATTTGATGAAATTAATCGAAACAAACTTGGAATTATTTGTCATGGAATTTTAGGTTAGTTCTGTAAAAAATAAACGCATATATAGTAATAATGTAATATATTATATTATATTTATGATTCAAATACTATTATTTGTGTAAATATATAGAACATAGGAATTATATATATCAAGTAAAGTTAGCCAAAGTGCTACCATTTGATACATTTCGATTAGATTTTCGTGGAAATGGAGAAAGTGATGGAGTACCCAAATTTTCAAATATTGAAGAAGACGCAGAAGATATAATTACAGTTTACAAATACTTGGAAAAAGTATATGGTTATTCATTATATACATTAATAGGACATTCAAGGGGTATTTTCATATAACTTTAATTATATCGTTTATTTATTTATAAGGTAGATATTAATTTATAATTAATAATAAATAATAAAGGAGCACTAGCAGCGTTATATTATGCATCAACCATAAATTTAAATATTCCATATTTGGTGCTAATATCAGGACGTTTTAGGATGCAAAGTTTAATCCAACGATTTAATAATGAACAGTTGAGAGATTTGGAGAAAAAAGGATGGACTAACTGGACTTCAATAAAAAATGGTAAAGGTTTTGCAATGAAAATTACCAAAAAAGAATTTGATCATTGGATGAATTGGGATACTACTACTCTTGGCAAGTAAATAATTATACATGATAGATTGATAGATTTATTTAAACATGTAATAATTTTAAATTTCAATAAAAAATTTTTTTTGATAGCTCAAAGAATTCCTAACTCAACATCTGTACT